AAAATCCTGTATGGTAAGAGCTACGCGCAAAGACTTTGTGCTCTTTTTGAGTGGTTTAAAACCCCGGTTCTGCCTTGGACACCACTCCTCCTATGTATCCTCTGGATACCTACTTTAACAGGGTGTTGCTACTAGGGGTTTGTTGAGACAGTTCCTTCAGCACATACAAAGAGAAACATGCGGTAGCCCCTGTGTGACAGGCCAAGACTAGTATGATTCTAGGCTCTTGGTCGTATTCCCTTAAAGGAATCTATTCCTGATTCCAAGCCTTGAGCTCTACCCCGGGCCCAGGAGTCTGGCCCTAACAGGTAAGTATTTTGGGTTATGTAGCCTAGGCCTTTGGCCATAGGGAATGACGTCACTGACAGCCGTCCAACGTCCCAGGGGCAACTCACATAGCAATATGGTAGAGTTGGTACTTAGTGCTCGCCATGGTTCTGGCATGCACTCCCCTCAGCATGGTGGCGTGGGTATACCGTTCCCCATAGCGATCCCTAGAGGACGCAGTTCGAAGTTCCCATGAAAGGGAACGTCTCAGGTTACTTATGTAACCATGGTTCGCTGAGTAGGGAATGAGACACTGCATCCTCTAGGTTTCTTGCCATGCTGCGGACGCAAGCTTCAGACGAAGAAGTGAATGACGTGTGCTCCCGGCTCCTATTTATACTATAGTCGCACCGGTAGTGACGTCATGGCTGTCGCCGGCAAACGAGTTGGTGTTTTTTCAATGTATGCTTCAGACACGGGTCACGACGAGGCGTTCCCCCATAGCCCCCCTAGAAGACTCAGTGTCTCGTTCCCTACTCAGGGAACCATGGTTACATAAGTAACCTGAGACGCTTTCTATCTCACAATTTTGACTTTCTCTCAGAATTGCCAGTTTATGTCTTGTAAATGCAAGTTATAAACTCACATTTGTATGTTAACATCTGAAAATTATTTTTTTCTCAGTATTGTAAGAAGTAAATCAGAATTCTGAGATATAAACTCAGGACTGCGAGAATAAAGTTTGAATTGTAAGATAAAAAAGTTGCAATTACCTTTTTATATGATGATGGAAACAGGCATCCATAATAAATCTCTCCATGTACATATTTGCAGTATCAGCTGCTGTCATGACATTCAATAAACATAAACGTGGACCATGATAACTCAGAACAGGCTACTGTTTGGTAAAAGTTATTGATGTTGGCCTTCAGCAGCGTTATTAGCAATACCCCTAATGATACACAACACAATGCAGTGTAAATCACCATGCTGTCAGACACATGCTACACAAAAGTCTCAGATAAATGAATAAACCACTTAATGAGAATATTGTTTCCTCCAAGAGATGAATCTCCATTTAATTTTTTTCAGTATAGCAATATTTTGCAGAAGTTAATCACACTGTACATGTTGTTTGCTTCAGCTTCGTTTTTCAGCTTAAAAATGTTGTGTTTATGATATTATGATTATGTGCCGGTAATAGAAATCCACGCCTCTGCCAAGACTTCCATACTAATGAGATCAATTGCCATCCATTTTAATAGTTTTTTCTTCTTCTTCCCATCTGTCTTATAGGGCAAGCAAAATGTTCCAGAACTTAATTGCTCGAGAGAGAGAGAGAGAGAGAGAGAGAGAGAGAGAGAGAGAATGAGACTGAGACAGGATTACTTCAAAGGATCTTTCTGCCACCAAACAAATACCAGTTCTTCCCACACAATCAAACAAATGTCAATTAGCAAGCATCACATCCCCTCCCTCTCAGCCCAATTAGGAGGATGGAAGTCTATCACACAAATATGCCACTGCTCAGAGTCCTGTGAAATAAAGCTGGCGGAAGATAGCGGAGTCCAGGCCTTCTGTCCATTTTCCAATTAAAGACCATGATCTACTAATGAATAAGCAAGTCTGACACTAAGAGGTCTCTGCCAGTGGGTTGTTTGATTGGACGCTTGACTTTCATTGATGGATTAAAGGATGACTCCACTGAGGGAATATGTTATTTAGCTGTTTTCTTCAGCTTTTCACGACTTCCAGATTGAATTTGGAGTTAGGACCCCGTCTGATTGATGCGTATACCTTTTTGCCCGCATATTAGGAGAAATAATTTATTGGAGTGTTGTGGACACCTCAGATTTGACAAATCTAACATTGTTTATTGCAGTTCTGTTTTAGGACAGCAGCTGTCAAACTGTCATGAAACAGAAAAAACAATAGCCTGTAGAGCTCGGAAATGGGATAACACAGTCTCTGGTTTGATTGCCCGCAGCAAAGAATAGATTCATAATGTTAATGTGCAATAGAGTGGCTGACAGAATAATCTTGGAAAAAAAAATACTGCTTACTGACATTTCAATCTGAACGCAACAGACAAAATGTATAATAAGAGGCAGCGTTTGTCAAAATACTAACATTTGCGCACATTCAATACAGGCAACTTTTTGATAGGTGTTGATATTTATTTGCAATCAGTACATGACATACAATTACGAATTTACACTGAAGAATTGCAGCTTACAACAAAGGCGACAGATTTCAGTTCAAACCCAAGGTGAGGTAGGATCAAGAGGATTTGTATGATATGTTGGGAAATGGTAGAAAGTTCTAGAGAGATGTGAAATGTGAAAGTTAAATGGCAAAGGATGCATGAGCTCATGATGCAGATGTAACATATGCACTCCGAACTGTCGCATAGATCTATACAACCAAAAAATAAGGGACCTGGGTGTTACTGTCTCAACTCAACACTGTCTCAGTTCATCTACACCCAACAAACCTAAACTCCAGGAAGCTTAGTTACATATTTACATATATATTGTGAAGCTCAAGTGCTTTGGCATGGTATTTTGTAACCCTCCGAATGAAGAACCTCTTTGAGAGGAAAAGCTTGGTGCATTGAGACAGTCGTTGGCACAGCAGGAGTTTAATATTTTCCTGTGAAAACGTTGCTCAATCGTGCTCTTCAAAAATAACTTGATTTCTGTGATTAAATTACACAACAAAGTCCGACAGGCAGCACTTGATGAAATTAAAACTTCAAATAACCTCAAACTGAAGTCGTTACGGTTGCTAAACGAGTCTCTGCATGGGTGTGCGTGGGAACAGCTTGATGTGCATTGTTGAAAAATGTACAGTCCAACCTGCAAATTTCCCACTTTCTCTGGCCAGATGTGCAATTCAGGAAGAACAATGCTGTTGCTATGGTAACCACTTTCCACAGCCTTTTAATACCAAAGGTCAATGCCTTTCTGATAATATAATCTGACACCGGAAGTATTGCTTTAGTGAACAGTCTATTGAAACTCTTTAAATAACCTGAAAGGAAGCCACAAAGTATCAAAAAAACAAATGTCATGAAATAAGCCAAATAATAAATACCTAATGTCTTTTAAAAATAAATGAGATCATTCATGCCAAAATAAGTGCTTATGTGCCTGCATGTCTCAGCCTGAAAACAAAATCTGTAATAAGACAGACACCCTTCAAGTGTCATATTTAGTCTCTTTATGCCTCCTCTTAAAGATGGTGGACCGTTTAAAGAAGCCAAGCCCAGTGCAGTCCAACCGGAAGAAAAGAAGCTATCGGAGGAAATGTAGGTCAACATTCTGAAATGAAGCTGAGGTCCTAGGCTTTGGCCCAGCTCACAGGAACCCAGAAGGTCTCCCGCTCCAGTCTCTCCAGGATGCTACGTAGCTCTGCGCAGGCAGTGTCCTCTTTAATCAGGACCCGATCCACTAGGTGACCGTACTGTTGATCTGTCTGCTGCGCCGACAGACGCATTTCCTGCAGGTCCTCCTCCTGAAAGATGAGGAGATGAGAGAGTGTAGTAGGGCATGAATATTTATAGTGAGAATGAAATGAAAGAGATGTCAGTAGATGTGTGCAAAAAATATATTGCTAGCGATACTGTGTCTGTAGATTCTGTGATTTTCCCATAAATTTTGCAAGTGAGATAAACCTTAAGATGATTTTTAAAGCCAGACAGTCTCTGCAATTTTATTCAAATTATTATGAAATTACACAATTTCAAGGCTGATTTTTTTGAGAGGCTGGAAGAATTGTCGTTGATCAGTGCCACAGGCTTTCTTGAGAGCCAAGTGATGTAAACCTGTGATCAGACTCACTGTTATTCGCCCATGTTCACCTCCTGGCGAAGTGGCGGCACTGCGGCGTCTGCGACTCTCTGGGATTCGTGGTTTTACGAAAATGACGTAAGGCTTAAATTCAGCTGTCCGTAGGGCCTTCAGAGCCTGTAGTGGGACAAACAACAGAACCAGTAATGTGGATAGTGTCACGAATCCGGTCCATGAACTTTCATCTGCTAGCCATCAGAGGTCACCCTTTCCTATTGCATTGACTCTCGCACTACACACTGTTGCACATCACCCCGGACTACATTTCCCATCATGCATTGTACTGATTGCACTCAGCACGGATTGCACACAGCTGTACACTGATTGCACCCAGCTGTTTCATATCACTCCCTCACTATTTAACACTCACTCTGATCCCTTCCCTCTGCCGAGTATTGTCTAGCGCTTATCTTCCCCCAGATAGCTACATTACGGAGCCCTAGCCCTAGCCCTAGCCCTAGCCCTAGCCCTAGCCCTAGCCCTAGCCCTAGCCCTAGCCCTAGCCCTAGCCCTAGCCCTAGCCCTAGCCCTAGCCCTAGCCCTAGCCCTAGCCCTAGCCCTAGCCCTAGCCCTAGCCCTAGCCCTAGCCCTAGCCCTAGCCCTAGCCCTAGCCCTAGCCCTAGCCCTAGCCCTAGCCGTTTTCTCGGTTCTTGATCTTCGCCTGGTTTCTTGGATTTCTCCCTTAGTCTTGTCCCTTCCGATTCTGTCTGCCCATCGGTGTCCTTCGCTAGCCCTGTGACTGTTCTTGTGTTTTGCCCGCCATATACCTGTTTGCCCGTGTTCTGACCCTGCCTGTCTTATGACCACGTCTCTGTCTAATAAAGCTTTGCATATGGATCCGCACGTCTCACGTCTCGTCAGCCCTGTTACAGATAGGTAAATGACACTATCTACCTACACTGCTGTTCAAATTTGAGGTAAGTAAGGAATACATATTCTTATTCAGCAAGGATGCATTAAATCAGTGATCAAAAATCATTGTAGTCATTTACAATGTTAAAAAAGATGTCTATTTTAAAGAAATGGTGTTGTTTTGTTCTATTTTTTAAATTGCTTTCTATTCTATTTGGTTTCTATTCATCAAAGAATCCTGAACAAAAGAATCAGTTTCCACAAAAAAATGTTAAGAAGCAAGAGTTATCGATAATTTCACCAGTGATAATAAGAAATGCTTCTTGAGCACCAAATCAGCATATTAGAATGACATATCTATCATCCTATCTATTGTTCTGACTCTTTCATAACCTTTTCTTCATAATGAGATTTGACATTAAAAACATATAATCTATAGGGTTTCACAAAGAGTGTTTCTTTTAAATTGTTTTAACCCAGTTGCAATGAACTTTACAAGTGCACCTACAGAATCACATAATGAATAAACAATGTCTGTATGCCCTGATAAACTTTCAGTTCAGTTTAAGCCAGTAGCAGTAAAATCTCACATTAAAAATGTATGAGAGCAAGTGTTAGGTAAATTGCCTCCCATGATCATAAGAAGGATTCTTGCCATTGGGGGTAAAGTACTGCATGTGGTCTTGCACAACTAATATTCTTGTTGCAATAGACCAGTAGCTCCACCTGAAGGTGAAACTTGTCAGTACATATCAGCGCTGGAGAACGACTTCCTTTTAGCTATGCGTTGTAAGTGATGCATAAAAAATTGCAAATAAAACCAAAACAAAAAACATCAGACATTTGCTTTTGTGCATAATTCAAAAGAATAGTTTGCTGTTTTCATGTAAATTATAAATGAGAGTGTTTACAGTAATTCTTGAATCAACACCCAGGGCAAAATCTGCTGTAATTTACCTCAGGCTGTACATCTACCAGACACATCTTGTTCTTGGCTTGAACAGAGCGGATGGCCTCTATACTGGTCCCATACAGATTCTCTTTATACTCTCCATACTCTATAAATCTACAGACAAACGATTCAAGTCAGGGTATGACAATAGGGCAATATATTGGTTGGATAAAACTTGTGTAGTAGAAGAGAAGCAGTACAAGAGGAACACATTACAGTGGGACTCACTTGTTATTCTGTGCATCTGCATCAAACACCTGTTTAGTCACAAAGTGGTACTCCACTCCCTCCTTCTCGTTGCTCTTTTTGGGCCGTGTGGTGTCTGTGATGGAGAACAGAGACCCAAGGGTGTCATATGGATTGAAGGGATGGTGATTTATTCACCCCTGTGTACCTATAAACCTACAGTATGTACATTTCCAAAGACTTCCATGTGATTATGGACTGAAGCTTTCAAGCTTCAAAAAGTATGTAAAAGAATGATAAAGACATAATCAAAGTGGTTCATATGTGCTTTTGTATTCTTTTTGAAGCCTGCCAGCTCCAGTCCTACTTCACTTTCATTATAAAAAAAAATGGTATACATCAGAAATTCCCATTATGTGTCATATGAGTTGGGAAGAATATGACCATTTTTGGTGACTTTAAAGTTCACAGATCATTTCTGAAGTCTGAAACACTGGAAAGTTTCAATGTTCAAGGTCTGAACTGCTAGTGTATTTATCAGAAAGCTCCTTTTATCTTGCTTAGGAAATGAGGCAAGACCTACGGGGCACAGCCACAGCGTAGCGATGGGGATTTTCTGCTATCACTTTTTGCTTCAGCTCATTGATACGTGCTCCCAGAGAACCTGTGTAAAGATAGGCAGCAAGTTCAAGTGATTGCATATATAGTAGCTTATTTACTTAAAGTGCGGTGTACAAGAAAAGCCTACAGAAAATGACTGAGATATATCGCAGATATATTCTGAAGCTGAACCATTATTGCCACTAGAGGTCAGTGTATCTTCATAATGTGGGACACAAGGAACCGGGTTGGCAAACATCTTAGATCAGTTATAGGCAGTTATTTATATGTTATCTATATTGATATGTTTTAAGCACTTCAATGATAATACCAGATTTGGTAATTTGGAGCTAGTTTAACTAATTATTTTTAGGCACATATTTCCTGGAATTAACAAGTATGATGAAATTGTCATCATAAACCGGCTAGTTTCATTGTTCTAGCAGCCAAGTGTTGCAAGTCTTAT